TTTAAATTTGCTCAATAGGCAATTGTGTGGGACTTTATCAAATGCTTTTGCAAAATCAGTGTATATCACATCGACTGGATACTTTTTGTGTGCGGCTTCTGTGAGGAAATCGCGAGTTTTGAGGAAGTTAGTCAAACAGTTTTTTCTTTGAATGAATCTGCGTTGTGCTGTGCTTATTAAACCATTCAAGTTACAGTCAGTAGCATTATTTTTTCATGTAATATACTTTCGAATATTTTGCATGGCATGGATGTGAGAGAAACTGGTCTATAATTCGATGCTTTTAGTTTGCTTCCTTTCTTGAAAGAGGCGCGATGTTGGATTTCCTCCGCAGGTCTGGTACAGTACTGGTTAGAAGGTAACCATTGCGCAGATAGCTTCTGCGCAATGTTTGAGTACACGATGGTGAACATAATCTACACCGAGAGTTTTGGATTCGTCTAGGTTTGCGAGTCGAGCATGGATATTGTTGATTAAAAAGATATCCTAGTCTAGTATACATTTGTTGTCAGTTTGAGGTTCTAATTCTGGCATAGGTCCGTTTGGTTCGTTGACAAATACTGATTGGAAGTAATTGTTCAGGGTTGTGCAAATGATTTGAAGATCTGTTGAATTTGTTCCATCAGCTGTTTCTATAGAGTTGAATACACACTTTGAGTTGGTTTTGTTTTTGATATAAGCATGTAGCTTTTTAGGGTTGTTTTTACATAAATTAGCTGGGTTCTTTTCATAATCTAACACGGCTAATCTCAAAGTTTTTGTTACATTTCTACACGCTTCTTTGTGCTTGTATCTCAGCTCTCTATGTGAATGGCGACCAGATATGTATGCAGCATTTTTTGATGTTTGAGATACCTAATTTCTAGACATGGAGCAAACTCCAAAAATTTATATGTTTATACTTATATCAAATAAGGATGCTTTACAAAAAATTGCAATGATGGAGCCTGGGAACAAAAAAGCCCTAAAATTTTAGCTACACCTGCCCCAAAAGCGAGCGCAACAAGTTAATAAAAAAATTTTTTATACTTTTCTTAACTGAATCTGTATTCATCGACAAATTTAAAAATTCACACAGCAATCAATAAAAACATGACAATAACAAGTTTTAAACCCCTCAATTTGAGGGGGTTGCAAATTTTATAAGGCCATAACTGTTAAACGCTAATAGATTATTGCGTGAGTTTTAAAATTTATTGATGAATATATACTTGGTTAAAAACAGTAAAAATAATGTTTTATCAACTTGTTGCTCTCACGTTTGGGGCAGGTGTAGCTAAAATTTTAGAGCTTTTTTGCTCCAAGGCTCCAACCATTGCAATTTTTTGCAAAGCATCCTGATTTGACATAGGTATAAACATATAAATGTTTAGAGTTTGCTCCATGTCCGGAAGATAGCTCTTTCAACGACCAAATAATGCTGGATCCGCCCCTGGTGTATATATATGTGTGTGTGTGTGTGTATATATATATATATATATATATATATATATATATATATATATATATATATATATATATATATATATATATATATATATATATATATATAAATATATATATATATATATATATATATATATATATATATGTATATATGTATATATATATATATATATATATATATATATATATATATATATATATATATATATATATATATATATATATATATATATATATATATATATATATATATATATATATGTATATATATATATATATATATATATATATATATATATATATATATATATATATATATATATATATATATATATATATATATATATATATATATATATATATAAGAGTTAACAGTTTTATCCTAATTAAGAATAATATATAATATAAAAATTGTGAAACATAGGTAATAGAATGTTAGTAATTTTATTCTTTTAAGCCTAATCTTTAATTTAAAAGTCTAATGCTCTGATTATCACTTATCTTAATTTCGCTAATTTTAACAATCTTACTTCAAAAAGAAACAATTTAATTTTTTATTTAAACTCACTGAACTTGTTATGCACGTCAAAACGTAAAAATAAAACAAAAAACTCACGATGCTTGATAGGTTTTATTAAAACACGCGATCACGTGGTCAAATGAAAGTTACTTAATTGGCTAAAATAAGGTAATTCAACTTTATTATTT